CATACAGACCAGTGCGATAGAATAAAGAGCCTAGAATTAAATTCTTGCATATACGGTCAAATCATTTTTGACAAGGGTACCAAGATTACACAATGGGGAAAAAGTAGTCTTTTCAGAAAATTGTCTGTGGAAAATTGGATATCTACAAGCAAAAGAATGAATTTGAACCTCTACCTTACATAATATGCAAAAATTAGATAAAATGGGTCAAAGACCTTAATGTAACAGCTAAAACTATAAAAATTTTAGGAGAAAACATGAAGAAAAAGCTTCGTGATATTGGATTTGGCAATGATTTTGTGGATATGACACCAAAAGCACAGGCAAGAAGAAAAAAGTAGATAAATTTAACTTTATCAAAATGTAAAACTTTTCTGCATCAAACAATACTATCAACAGAGTGAAAAGACAACCCACAGACTGGGAGAACACATTTGCAAATCATATATCTAATAAGGTATTAATATCCAGAATGCATAAAGAACTCCTACAATTCAGCAACAGAAAGACAACCCAATTAAAAAATGGGTAAAGTCCTTAAACAGACATTTCTCCAAAGAAGACATAACAGATGGCCAATGAAGAGAAGCTCAGCGTCATCAGTTCTTAGGGAAATGCAAATCAATGCCACAATGAGATTATCACTTCACACCATTAGGGTAGCTATTATAAAACAAAACGAAACAAAACAACAGCCACAACAACAACCACAAAAAAACAAACCAAAAAACCCAGGAAATAATAGGAGTTGGCTAGAATGTGAAGAAATAGGAAAACTTGTGCACTGTTGTTGGGATGTAAAATGGTGCAGCTGCTCTGGAAGATAGTATGTTAGTTCTTTAGACAGTTAAACATAGAATCACCAGGTATTGATCATCCATTCCTGGATATATACTCAAAAGAAGTGAAAGGAGGGACTCCAACAGATATCTGTTCACCCATGTTCATACCAGCAGTACTCACAACAGCCAAAAAGTGGAAACAACCCAAATGTCATTGAAGGATGAATGGATAAACAAAATTGGTATATACATAACAACAGAATATTATTGGACCTTAAAAAGGGACAAAATTCTGGCACATGCTGCATAGATGAACCTTGAAGATATTATGGTAGCGAGAGAAGCCAGTCACAAAAAGACAAACACAGCATGACTCCACTTGTATGGGGTACCAAGACACTTCACACCATTAGGGTAGCTATTATAAAACAAAACGAAACAAAACAACAGCCACAACAACAACAACAAAAAAACAAACCAAAAAACCCAGGAAATAATAGGAGTTGGCTAGAATGTGAAGAAATAGGAAAACTTGTGCACTGTTGTTGGGATGTAAAATGGTGCAGCTGCTCTGGAAGATAGTATGTTAGTTCTTTAGACAGTTAAACATAGAATCACCAGGTATTGATCATCCATTCCTGGATATATACTCAAAAGAAGTGAAAGGAGGGACTCCAACAGATATCTGTTCACCCATGTTCATACCAGCAGTACTCACAACAGCCAAAAAGTGGAAACAACCCAAATGTCATTGAAGGATGAATGGATAAACAAAATTGGTATATACATAACAACAGAATATTATTGGACCTTAAAAAGGGACAAAATTCTGGCACATGCTGCATAGATGAACCTTGAAGATATGGTAGCGAGAGAAGCCAGTCACAAAAAGACAAACACAGCATGACTCCACTTGTATGGGGTACCAAGAGTAGTCAAATTCATAGAGACATAAAGTAGAATGGTAATTCACTAGGGGCTGGAGATGGGGGGAATAGTTTGGCAAGGTGAAAAATTTCTAGAGATAGATGGTAGTGATGGTTTCAGAACAAGGTAAATGTACTTAATGCCACAGACAGTAGTCAAATTCATAGAGACATAAAGTAGAATGGTAATTCACTAGGGGCTGGAGATGGGGGAAATAGTTTGGGAAGGTGAAAAATTTCTAGAGATAGATGGTAGTGATGGTTTCAGAACAAGGTAAATGTACTTAATGCCACAGACTTATACACTTAAAAATGGTTAGCGTGTTATGTAAAGTACATGTTACATAAAATGGCAAATTTTATGCTATGTATTTTTACCACAATGAAAATGATCAGGTTTTCTTCCTCATTAACAGTTAAAGCAGAAGTTGTACACTCTCACTGAATATCAAAGTTGGCCCCAGATGTATTTAGGTTTCTACAGTTTTTTTTCTTTAAATTTGAATTTGTTGCTTTAGATTGATTAGTTCCTCCAATCAGCCATAAACCCCAACGTTCTCTACCATATCACACCTGGTCTGTCTTACTTCACTCATTACCTACCAGGATGCCAACATTATATAGGTTTGAAACCCATGCAACTCCACCTTGCATCTCCTACTTTTATCAGCTTGCCAACACTCATCTGCTGGGTGAACAGCCATTCTTAGTTACTTGTAGGAATGTCAGTACAATGGCAAGAGGCTGGCTTGTGGACCTAGGTTTAGATCTAGATTTGAAGGCTGGCTCTGCCTTTGTCAGCGCTATGGCACATGGAGCTTCAGTTTTCTCATTTGTAAAATAGGGATAACAACATTAATTTTTCAGATTGGGGGAGAGTTAAATGAGATTATAAGTACAAATGCACCTAGCATGTCCTTGTCAGACACCAGAGGGTTCAGCAAATGTTGGTTTACTTCTCTTTGCCCCCATAAATGCTCAGTCTTTCGGTAAGAGGGAACAGTGACCGAGCCATGCAGTTTTCATAGATTAGTGGTGGGAGAGGACAACGGAGGATGGTTTAGTAGTTTACTTAAAGGTCTCCTGTGGTGAGCTAGACTGTGAGATCCTAGATGAGAAGGTCTCCATCTACTTTGTCTTTTAGCTATAGGTCTTACATGCTGCTTGATAAATGCTTAGAGAATAATGGTTGAACTTTGTCAGCATGGTAAAATAAGCATCAAATGGCATTCATTTAGCTTTGATGACAATCTCAGGGAGAAAAAAATAGGTCATCTGGACGTCCGAGAATAGAATATGGCTTTCAATACTGGTGAAGATAATACCTTATGCTTGCAGAAAACTGGAGAAAAATAAAATGAAAGCTAGGGAAAAAGGGAAACTCAAGGATTATGTGCTTATTATTCATTTTTTCCTTCTTGCAATGTTCTTGTTTCTTTAAGTTTTTTTCTTTTTTGGCCCAATTTGAAGGAGCAGATGCTTTTCCCAGAACTTCTGACTGACATGCTCAGAGCATCTGGGGACATGCTGCAGGCAGTAAAAGTGCCTTCTCTCACTGTTACTCCCAAACTCTGGAGAATTGACAGAATTGAGAGAAGAAAATGAATGGTATCAAAATTTTGACACCAGCTATTGTTTTCTTTTGTCTTACTTTCAAGAGATATGCATGCTCTGGTACATGTAGACACAAGGAAGTCACACCTAGGGATTGGTTAATTCATAAACTGGAGGAAAATCTCTAGGCTCCATTCTGAATTCCAGCTATAGCCCAAACAAAACAAAACAAAATCAGAAAGGAGAACTGTGAGCTAAAGGCACAGCAACAGCTGGATGTCTAGCCAACCGCTGTGTACACACTTAATTAAAGACCACATTAGTATTGTTAGAGCATGGTGGCTCTCCCTGCCAAGCTGCTGCAATCAGTTGCTTTGAATTCTTCCCATCACCTTTGGGAGTTTCAGTTCAGTGGTCTAATCTGTCCCAGGGCCCACTTCATGGTAGGTCACTGCAGGTGTGGGGATAGCAAGTTCTCTCTGCCTGTTAACAGACCACACTTCTGGAACACTTTTCAGATTCCTAACTTGTAAACATGTAAAAATAATGCCAGAAAAGGTATTTTATCAGTCATTATTTTTCCAAAGATGAAGCCCTCTGGAGCTGAATAACTCTGTCCCCAGGGTCCCAAGAACTGATGTGTGTCGCATGGTAGGTGGGAAATGCTTTTCAAATGGTGGGAGGAATAGTATGGAGAAAAAAGTTGCATTGAGTTAAGGAACATGGAATAACCCATTTCTTTAATGCACTTTTATGTTCCAGGCATTTAAAATAATGATAATGACACCTTCATTTCACATTTCAGAGTGGTTTCCCATACATTAATTTAGTGTAAACTGTGGGTTTGATATTTTTCACATTTAATGTTTGGTGTCTGTAGTTTCCATGAGATTACTATCTAGAAGTCAGTCAATACCCCTTCTGGATTCTGAAGACATTTGTTCAGGTTCCCTCATCTGACCAGGAGAAGATGACCAAATTTAAAAAAAAAAAAAGGCATTTCATTTTGTGTTTGATTTAAATGCCAGCGATATACTGAAGACCTTTCGTACTCCCAGCTTTGCCACCTAGAACGGTGCTGGTTGGAGCAGGGCCCCAGGCACACTGAATCGAATCCCTCTAAAGTCACAATATCTTCATCTGGAAAACCGGGACCCAGTTTTTCAGTAAATTTTAATGAACTCCCATTGCAAGTATCGAACGGTAGGGATATAGTAGTAAAGTAGTTTGCAAACTTCCAAATGCCCTCGATCTCTCGGACTTACGTTTCAGTGGGGGAGAAAACAACTAAAGTCACAATATCTTCATCTGGAAAACCGGGACCCAGTTTTTCAGTAAATTTTAATGAATTCCCATTGCAAGTATCGAATGGTAGGGATATAGTAGTAAAGTAGTTTGCAAACTTCCAAATGCCCTCGATCTCTCGGACTTACGTTTCAGTGGGGGAGAAAACATAAAGAAATGTCCACGAGGGTGAAGTATTCTGAAGAGAGAATCATGGGTGGAGAGCGCCAGTTCTCTAGGGTGGCTGGGGAGCCACCGTTAGGACAACATTTGAGAGTCCGGGATGAGCCCTGTGGGGTCTGGGAGCGACTGTCGCAGGCAGAGGCAGCGGTCATTGCAAAGTCCTGCGGTGGGGCCAGCCTACTTGTCGGAGGAGCCGCAAGGGCTGGCTACGTAACCAGGGAGGAGCCGCCAAAGGGACAAGTGGGGGTTCTGCTGGGGGCGGGAGCGTCACCTGGAGACTGCAACCTCCGCGCCGGGCCGCGCTTGGTGCCTGGACCGGTGCTGGTGACAGAGCCCGCCGCGCTGCCCGCCAGGAGGTGCTGGGGGGTGGGGTGGAGGACACGTGCGAACGCGACCCTCCGCTCGCCCTGCCCAGTTCCTCGGAGCTCGGTCTCCCCAGCAACGGGACCGGGTGGTGCAGTGGGAAAGGCGGGTCCCAGGGCGCCGGGGCGCCCCACCCCGGAGGTGGGGTCGTGCGCGGCCGAGGCGTCCGGTCCCAGGCGGGCTCCTTTGGTCTTCGCTTGCCCAGCACACACGCAGGGACACGGAACACGCATTAGGACGTCCGGCCTCAAGCATTGCGCCCTGCGCCGGCCAACGCCCTCCCCAGTGCAGCTGGCCCTGGAGCGGGTGTGACGGGGGAGCGAGGCCCAGTACAGCTGGCCCTGGAGCGGGTGTGACCGGGGAAGCGAGGCCCAGTGCAGCTGGCCCTGGAGCGGGTGTGACGGGGGGAGCGAGGCCCAGTGCAGCTGGCCCTGGAGCGGGTGTGACCGGGGGAGCGAGGGAGGGAACAG